TCCAACATATATATCACCTTGATATGTGGACTTAAGATCTATCTAGGTCCTGTGGACCTTAGGAGAAACAACTACCTGAATCTTAATGAAGATTACCTAGATTTGGGGTCATCTTCAGAAATAACCTTTTATTTTAATTGAAGAAAGCTATCTTAAGGAATGCAAACATGCAGAGGCAAGGCTATCCATATGGTCATCTCCTTCCTTCCATGTGAGGTCCTCTTGTCTTTCCTTGATGCACAGCCTCTACCTTATTCCAGAGCTCAGGATATAAATCCCCAACTTGTCCCAATTACTTTACAATTTATGGTAATGTAAATTTTCTATAGGTATGCAATTACATTTGCCTTTTTCCCTTATTAATTTGTCTGATGTTATTTGTTTGCTTATTTAGCCCAAGAAAACCCCAGAGGATTTGGGGAATGTTCTTCTGTGCTTGAGTTATATGTATTGTTGTCTCAAGCTATCTTGATGTATATATCTTGATAATATGGTTAAGTTTTACAGGTTTCCTGGGAAAGGAGACCAAAACAACAGTTGTCAAAGAGAGTGAAAGATAATCACCAATTATATACACAAGCTAATCAAAGTTATGATGCAATATAAGAGAGGGAACACAAGTACTCCACAATTCAGAATTCTCCATCCGGTATCCAATGTCTGACTTGTGGAAAACTGTTTGAGATTACATCTTGTTTCCATCTTTACCAATTTTCCAAATGAAGTGATCTGGTTTTCTAAGCTTATAAATTTGCCTTCATTTGATTCTCAATAAACATGAATAGAAACAATTCTCAACAGATGAAGAAATCAATAAACAATAATCAGACAAAATATACAACCCATAAATGAGAACTAGGTCTTTATGTTGCTCGTTTTGAGGAAGGTGAGACGATATGCTACAGTGAAATCTACAAGAAATCAACAATTTGATATGTAATTCTTATTAAAATTGTACACAATAGAGGTTTTTGGTTTAAAGCAAGTTACAAAAGGAATGCATGGACAAAAGAAAACCTAGGCAATTTTTCTCAAATTCTTTGATAATTCCAGACTTCTCTGTAAAGTCTCCTCAAAGGATCCTAAATTCTAGAAGGAAGGCAGGATTATCTTTGCTTTTAAAACAGAAAATTAAAAATAGAACAATCATCTGATCCAAAAATCCCATTTGCAGATACCTATTCAATGTCTATAAAAACACTAATTTGAAAAGACAGAGCCACCAGAATGTTTACTACAGCATGTTCAAGTGTCCATGGACAGATGATTGAATTAAGAAGATGTGTTATATGTACACAAAGTAATACTACTCAGATGTATAAAAAACACATTGCCACTTGTGGAGGTGATTTTGCTAAGCAAAATAAATCAGAAACAGAAAGGCAATTACCAGAGATTTCACTCATATGTGGAATGTAAAGAAACAAAGCAAAGTACCAAACAAAAGAAAAAAGATAAGTAGATAGTGACAACAGAATGGTGCTTATGGGAAAAATGGATACAGGGAATTGAGCAGATAACTGAATGGTAACTAAAACTTTGGTGGTGGATGTGGTGTGATATGATCATTTATCAAAGTGTGAAGCTGTACTTCTGAAATTTATGTAATATTGTAAGCCAATGGCACATCAATTAAAAAATATATATAGTAGCCTCCCTAGTGGTACAGGGATTAAAGTCTCAGCATTATCAAGATATTGCCTGCCACTACTGCATGAGTTCCATCCCTGGCCAGGGAGCTGACCCACATGGCACATCAGACCTCTTCTGTCTCACCCGCTGCTCCCCTCAGCAGTGTATTTCAGTAGATCCACCAGTTCTGCTCCCCACTCTATCTCTGGTGAGCCCCCTCAGTCCCCACACCTCTGGTCTGCACCCCAGCTCTTGTGTGCATAAATAAAAATATATAAAATATATATATTTTATATATATAGAAAGCTGTGATCCAAAACCACAATGAATGTGATTTAAAAGAAGAGCACTGAACTGCCTCTCCAACCTTTTAAAAACCCCTCAATTATTTGCTTCTTTCTTATACTATAGACATTATTGATATTATGAATCTTTTGTATTTGTCTTAATTCCTCTTCTTGAATTGAAAATCTATCTAAACTCAAACTATGCTATTTTTATCTTTTATTTCCAGAAGACAAATATTGCTTTGCAAATAGTAGGCATTCAAAATTATTTGTCCATTGAACTGTACACAATGATGATCTCATATTGATTTATTGTTAATTGAAAGCATTATTTGTATTTATTGTTATGAAGGGTTGGGCATCAAGCCTTCTGTCAAAATGTTTCTTCACATTATTTTCATAATTACTATACTATGAAAAAATCAAACTGTACTTAACACAATGTCAAATGCTTATAGATACACCATTTATAGATTAACTTAAATCTTATATAAAGCACCTTAATAAGGCACTTAATTTAATTTCAAGTGAGATCTTCTTACAAAAAAGACAGAATTGATTCTTCTCAATATCCCTTTCATAAGTAACTTCTGTAGACTTACAGAATGGAATGGAATGTCTGCAAGCCTGCAGAAGTTAGACCCACTGTTTCTGACTTTGAAACTGCCACCAATAAATAAAGACATTAATTCTTTAGGAAGAACAATGACACCAGATATAATCCCTAATTCTTGTCAGTGAAAAGGGGAATCTAAATTTTCAGAATTATTGTCTATTTGAAAGAAAAGTAATTTAAGCTGAATATAAAGGAAAAAGTAAAGCCATGCAAGTCTTTCAGAAATTTCAGAGGAAAAACTACTCAAAAACCTTTGTCAGTGGGAATGACAGATATGAACAGGGATTGAAAAATGGTCATTTTCTATGAAAGTTAAGAAATAAGTATCCTTGATAGGTATAATCTTTTTTTAATTTATATGATTTTCAAAAAGTACTAATAGGAATTTCCAAATAAAGGGCCATTAAAGGTGCCAGGGTGAGTTATAGAAGCTTTAAAGGGTAAAAAAGAAAATTATTTGGGACTTCCACCCTCCTCAAGCAGAATACCAATGAAAAACTATTAAACAATATTCCCATTAAAGATGCTAAGAAATGAAATGACGGGGAAATCAAATTGAAAAAAATACAATGTTCTGTCTCCATTTTCAAACTTCTTCCTCTAAAGCTATTTTATTTATAGCAACATAAAGGTATGATTTCAGCTATCTGTTAGTATGGAATGTCCAGTTAGCTGAATCTCAAATGATGGATGTGCCTCATGAATATCTAAAGGTGTCATCATCACATCCTTCTCATCTCTTCCTCTTGAAAGAGCTATTTATGATTTATTCACATATATTGCCCTGTTCAAGCCATTAGACAGGAGAGATGAGTGAGTTAAAGGTAGGATTCTGAAACACCAATGCATATAAAACCCAAACTTAGATGGAAAATAAGAAACAACAGAGTGAGTTTGTTATTTCATAAATGATATATTAAACATCTTTTCTGAAACTCACATTAGATTATGCAAAATCACCAAGATACCAAAATCCAGACAATGAATTTATAGGATTAGATAGCAAGGTTGCTGTGAATCACTTATAAAATTTTACAAAGTGACAACTTTTAGAAATAGAATTGGGGCCCCCCTAATGGTGCAGCGGTTGAGTGCTGGGCTGTGAAGCTGCCCGCAGCCTTTAAAGTGCAGGTTCCATCCCAGGCCACCGGTGAGGGTCCCACATGGTGCAACAGACCTCTCCTGCTGCCCCCGCTGCGCCCCTCAGCAGTGTATTACGCCTGTTCTGTTCCCCACTCTGGTTCTGGTGAATTCTCTCACCCTCCCACGCTTCCGACTGTACCCAGTGCTTGTATAAATAAATAAATCTTAAAAAAAAGAAAAAAGAAATAGAATTGAATTTTTGAGGATGTCCTTCCTTATCAACAACATCCTAATTGCCTACACTAAATCTTAATTAATTCAGCTCAACTAATGAAAATATTTTGCTTGAGTTTTGGGACATTTAAAAATAATTACTTTTTATTTATTTCACTAATAGTAGTCAAACAAATTTCCTGTAGTATTTGAAGGAAGGAATATAAGAAAGTTATGTATCAGGTAACACTTTATATACAGAAGAAGGCCTTAAAATAAAGTTGGTTGAAGAACAAAGTAGGAGCTAGAGGATTTACCCATTGCAAGTGATGACAGGAGATAGTCAGATTTCAGGAATCAAAAGGGCAATTGTGGAGGTATAGTTAAATCACACAGAATCCAGGCCAGCAGTCAGCCATGCACAGTCTAAAAGCTATGTTTCCTTCTCCCGTGAAATAGTACTCTACATGTTTTCAATGCCAATGTGTTTCAAAGGAAGGAATGCTATGGCAGATTTTGTTTGAGAATTTTTAAACTAATTCCATAAAGTAGTTCTTTGAATGGTTGAAAATGGTTTTAAAGACATCTCTGCTTTGATTTAAGCGGGGAAAAAATTTGTTGCCAAGTAAAATGTTCCTGTAGTGCATTGTGACAGGAAGAATGGAACATAGCTGAATTCTGGGTTCTAATAGTATTTTTATTATTTGGGTTTCGTTTGGTCATCTGTGAGATGGGGACTAAATAAAAAAGGACTTCTACATAAAGTCCTTTCCAAAAGCACCACTAAGATGATTTACCAGTTCCACAGTAGAAGATCCAAAGACTGATAAAATGAATAAATAAAGCATAGATTCACCATTTTAACAACCCAAAGTTCAGACTTTCAGATGCAGGTGTATATCTACTAGTGGATCCTATAATCAACGTAATGCACTCCAATCATTATTTTTCAGAAAAAAATAGGATAGAATGGAAAATCTGAGAGTGCATTGCAAGAAGTTACTTTTTAAGCATTTATTGTACTAGCTTACACATATACTTACATGTATTATATAGTGAGTCATAGTGTAAAATATATTTCTATTCTTCATGAACATCAACAATATTTCTAAGCTACTTATTTAGAGTGTCTTTACTTGGGCTAATGGAGAAAACAAGCTTTTACTCACCAATAGTGGGGTCATGGTAGTCAGGGAACTGATGACTAATAAATTGCATTGTCATTGCTGAAAAAAAATAAATTAAATTTAATAAAAACATCACTGATTCATTAATAAGTTACTCACCATACAGTTATAATAGGTTCTAATAACTTATATCTGTGAGTGACTAATTTAATTACACAACATGAACCATAAAATGTTAATGAGAGAGGGCCTCCCCAGTAGCGCAGCAGGTTGAACGCTGCACTGTGGCGCTGTCCTCAGCCTCTTCAGCGCGGGTTCGATTCCTGGCTGGCCAGGGAGAAACCCACATGGCATGGCAGACTTCTCCTGCCTCGCCCGCTGCTCCCCTCAGCAGTGTCTTTGGTCCATCTGCCTGTTCTGCTCCCCGCTCTCTCTGGTGAATTCTCTCACCCTCCCGCGTCTCTGACCTGTACCCCAGTTCTTGTATAAATAAATAAATCTTTTAAAAAAATGTTAATGAGAAAGTTCTAGAGGCAGAAAATGTATTGCGAGGGAACAATAATGTTAGGTACTTCTCCAGGATAAATATGTCCAAATTTATGTGCATTCCAATAAAAATGTTATATTGAAGGAAAAATAAAGAGCTTCTTGACATAGTAAAAATGTAAACCATCTACAAGCTCCTTTTTTTCTGAGGTTTAACTTCCTCATCTTTAAAATAAGGAGGTATCTCTGAGATCTGTGTAGTTATAGATATACACTATTATTTGAACTTATCCTGCAGTCAAATTTTTCATAGTTGAAATTATTTGTCACTTTTACTTTTGCCTAATCCATGTTATTTGGACTCTCATTAATTTGCATTTTTTGATATTTCCTCTAAATTCTCCACATTCTTTTCAAATCTATAATTTTATAAACTATTTGCAATGATTCTAATGTAGAGTTCCTCATGCGTAACTTGGAGACACAGGAACTCTGGAATAAAGCACAAACTTGGGGGGCAGGAATTAGCATGCAGTATGTATGTCTTTGTGTGTATCTCTGTGTGTGAGACTTTCTCCTTGAGCAAACATTAGTCAGGTTCCTCTAAGTCCTCTTCTCAACAATGCTTTCACCTTGGTCTCTATCCTTACTAGACTGTATAGCCCAGTAGAAGCAGAATATTGCTAAGTCAATTTAATGTGATGTCCCCACTCTTGCTGCCTGGTCTCTCACAATATCAGATCCAATTTCTCATTTCTCACATGCTTGGTATCTCATATCCCTGGCCTGTGTTCAGCAAGCCCCCATAACTCCTTGTCCATAAAACCCCACTTTCTTTGTCATTGCTGTATTTAGAATGATTTAAGATCTATAATGAGGCCTTTTTCTCCTACTGAAATAGTTCCTGAATAAGATAAAAGGTTATTGTCTTGCTCTGCTTCCCTTTAACAGTGTTCACATGAGTCAGCAAATCTTCAGAGCATGGACTACTCCTTTAAATTAAACAAACCTATAAGAAAGTGAAAATCAAAATCAACAAAAAACTATGAACCAGAGACACTTTTTGGGGGGTGGGGGGCGGGAGGGGAGGGATTGGGGTCAGAATGGGGGGGTTGCAATTGTATGGGGAATATAAAAATAAAATTTATTATTTTAAAAAAATAAAAAAAAATAAAAACCTGTATAGGACACTGGTCTTAGCCTTCTGAGAAATGCAAAGAAATAGAATGTGACCCAGTGAAAGAGAATTTCTGCTTATATTTTTACAGTGTTTATCTCCTGTCTTTGCAATGACAAAATAGTCTTCATAAGAAAGTATCACTCAATTTGACATTTTATGGCAAGTTTTTGAAATGCAAATCAACATTCCAGAGAACCTTAGGAGTTAGAATATTTAAGGTAACCAAACCAAAAGCAACATATTTATTTAATGGATATCAGGAATTTGGAAAATTGTTTTCATGAGTTTAAAATTTCTTAAACCCTGGGTGTTTACCATCAAGTACAGCACAGAGGTCAACAGCCTGACCTCAGAATGAACAATTGCCTTGGTTAGTCAGCCATTTAAATTTCAAAGCTAGCTCAGGTGCTCAAAAATTTAAAACTAAAATGAAGTTAGTTCCACTCCACTCTACTCAAAGCAAAGAGATATGCACTCATTTACTAATATGATTAAGAATCTCACTGTTCATCTTTTGACAATCTATTATTTAGACTAAAGTATTGAAGACCTTTTTGCATCTTTCTTCCTATCCTCCATCCAGCCAGTATAAATTTTCAATTTTACTTTCAAAATATCTTTCAAACTTGTCTCAATTCTTTTTTTTTATTTTTTTATTTTTTTAATTAATAAATTTTATTTTTATATTCCTCATACATTTGCAATCCCCCATTCTGACCCCAATCCCTCCTCTCCCACCCCCCCCACCCCCCAAAAAGTGTCTCTGGTTCATAGTTTTTGTTGATTTTGATTTTCACTTTCTTATAGTTATTCATTTTCCTGGTCCCTTATTTAAGTATTCTAGATTCCTGCTATGAGTGAGACCATCCGGTATTTTTCTTTTTCTTTTTGGCTTATTTCACTGAGCATGATCCCTTCCAGCGCCATCCATGTTGCTGCAAATTGCATGTGTTTATCTTTTTTGAATGCTGAGTAATATTCCATGGTATATATGTACCACATCTTCTTGATCCAGTCATCTATTTTTGGGCATTTGGGCTGTTTCCAAAGCTTAGCTATTGTAAATAGTGCTGCTATAAACATAGGGGTGCAGGTGTTCTTTGGAATTGATGTTTCTGTGTTCTTTGGGTAAATACCTAGGAGTGGAATTGCTGGATCCTGTGGAAGCTCTATGTTTAGTAGGTCCAGAAATCTCCACACAGCTCTCCATAGTGGTTGGACCAGTTTGCACTCCCACCAACAGTGCAGAAGAGTTCCTTTTTCTCCACAACCTCGCCAACATTTGTTGCTAGTTTTTTTAATATGTGCCATTCTCACTGGTGTAAGATGGTATCTCATGGTAGTTTCGATTTGCATTTCCCTGATTGCAAGTGATGTTGAACATTTTTTCATATGCCTATTGGCCATTCGCATTTCCTCTTCAGAGAAGTTTCTTTTTAGCTCCTCTGTCCATTTTTTGACTGGATTATTTTCTTTGTTGTTGTTGAGTCTCATCAGCTCTTTGCAGATTTTTGTGATCAGTCCTTTATCATTAGTGTTGTGTGCAAAAATTTTCTCCCAGTTGGTGGGGTTTCTCTTTGTTTTTGTTATTGTCTCTTTTGCTGTGCAGAAGCTCTTTAATTTGATGTAGTCCCAGCTGTTGATCTTTGCCTTCACTATCACTGCTTTGGGTGATGTGTCAATTCTTTCTAATATTATTGCAGTTCATGTATCTTTCTCTTGGAAACCTTTATTGCAATAGACAATAATTTTTCTCTATAGCTATTTGCTTTACTTCCATTAGAATTTTGACAACAGTAGCAGAATCACCAGTTTAAAAAAAAAAGTCATTCATGTCAACAAATATTAGGATAAGACTATAGCCTTTTAGTACAATACACTAGAATATGTGGTCTTTCATATGCCCATAAAAAACTTTTCAATCTTGAATTACACCACTTTGCAAATAACTACTCTATGTTCTCAGGCTTACTGAGTACTTTTTGTCCACATGCATGGCTCCATTCCATTATTTAGAATGGTTTTCTCCTTCACCTTCATTTTGCTATCATGCCAACAAAAATTTAGTCATGCTTCTCTAAGTCCTCTTCCAAACTAGGTCTCTACTTGTAGGTTTCTGTGTTTTTCCCAGTATTACCAAAATCCCTGCTAAGTCAGGTTAGAGTGAATTCCCTATGGTAAATAATCTGATTGTCTTTGATATATGATCAAATTCCTTCCTTCCCACCATGGCAAGTGGTACATGATTACTCTAATCTGCCTTCAACAGGAGTCCCATTAAGTCTCTAAACCACAATCCCCCCTACCTCTGATGTTTTCCCTTAGCAATTTTACCATCCATTGATTCCTATCTTGCTCCTTGGCTATAAATACCCACTTTTATTTTCTGCATTTCTAAATTAGCACAGTTCTATACTGAAGTTTATGTTCTCTGTTGCTATAGTTCCTGAACAATATCTATTTTTACAACTATTGTCTCCAACTCTGGTTTTGTTTAACAATGCTAATATAATGATCCATATATCCATGCAAATGTCATACCATTCAATCAACACCTTCAAACTATTCATCTACCTGTTGCCAGAACATGATAGTCACAGAAGCTAATAAGAAGCATTAAAAAGCACTGTGTATAATTATGTACTAAACTTAGTAAAGACATTTGAAGGCTGAAGAAGAAGAAAAAGAAAACCTCTCAAGGACTGACAGATATATTTGCTTTTAGACTTGAGAAATCACAGAACCAATATCAGAAATAAATGTATCAGTCTAAGATTTACTTGCTACACTTATTTATAAGAACACCTAACATTTATTTAGATGATAGACTTTGTGCTGTAATGGAAACCTGCTGCTTATTGCATAATTGAAAAAGCCCTTCAATTCTCAAATCCTCTGAACTACCACTGAGACAGAACCAAAGAAGAGAAAACCAGCTGAGCTTTGTTCCAGAATTTCAAGAGATAATTTTAGAAATATTGATTTGTAAAAGTTTCTTTCGTATTTTGCAAAATGGATGCTGATGGGATATCTAAGAGTATTTTCCTTTGTGGATGTATGTTAAACAAACAATTTTTAAAAAAACTCCTGTCAATGTTAGAGGTAAGCAATCTGATAAATATCTATTAATCAAAGTTGGAAAAAATTCCATTCATTTGTTGATAAACCTGTTTATATAAGTAGAAATCAATAGGTCCCAAGTAAGAACCCTTGTCCTAGAGAGTTCCCAGATATGTCAGAAATCAGTCTTGTGCCTAGAAAACTGACATCCATAAACAATTTGATTTGAGAACCTCACGCTCCAGTCTTTATCTCAGGAATCCCTGATACTCAGATATACACCACTTGATATTTGTGTTTTTATTTTTATTTTTTTATTTAAATATTTTATTTTACATAATTCTTACATCTTTTTTCATCTTTGCACAATGCA